TTATTGCTAATAATATTTTAGAAAAGAATTAAAAAAGAACTTGGATTCAAAAAAGAAAATTCAAGTAGCAAAGATGAAGAAATGACTGATCCACAAATTATTACTATAAAAAATAATCTGGAGGAATATGAAAATATTAAAAATAATCCAGGACAACTATTGGAAAATAAAAAATTAGAAAGAAGAACTTTGGCAATAAGCAAAGATTTAGACAAATAAATAAATGTAAACAAGTATTAAATAATAATAATAATAATTTTATAAATGAATAAATTTACAATTAAATATTATTAAATTATAATATATAAATATAAATATAGTTTATTATTATTAAATCAAATCAAAAATCTTTGAAGTTTAATATATTAATTTTTACTTCAGAGTCTTTTAACGATGACAAAGAACCTCCAGAGGTCTATATCTGAAGATCTTTAAAGATCTTTGTTAAAAAATTTTCTAATGAATAATAATTGCAATGTCAATCACTTGATCTTGATAGTATACTAGCCAGCAGTTTTTTTTAGTTTTATTGTTGAATTTTTTAACATTGTATATAACAATTTTCCAGATGATGTTCTGTATTTAATGGTCTATTGATCCTGTTGAATTCATAATACTTCTTGTTTGCTTTGTGCTATATCTTATAAATAGTTGTTGCATGTTGATACCTGTTGGATTTGTTGTTTTGGTTAATTGAATTTTTGTTGTTATTGATAAATTTGTTAAGGTAGTTTGCATAATTTGTTTTTTATTGTTGTTTTTTATTATCTTGAAATTGTAATAAGTTGTTTGTTATACTATCTATAAGTTGGTTAAATATGTCTACTACTGTTTGAAATGTGTTGTCTATATTTGTTATTTTGAAGTTGAGATTGCATTATTGGATCTTGATGTCACTTGTGTCTACTGCTGAGCTTATAGCTAGTCTTTTCTTTTGATAGTTAAATTCTTAAAGTTTGAAAGTAATTGGCTAGAGGTGATTCTCTTTCAAGTATATTTTACTATCTTCAATTGCTTCTTTCATCTAGTCTTTATTATCTACTATGTAAAAGTAAGCAAAGTCTTTTAAGTATCCTATTCTTTGGTTAAGGTTACTTATAGATTCTTTGATATGTTTAAGCTCTGATTCTATTGCTTATACTATTTTAAATACTTCTGTTAATAATAACTATAGGTTAATTTTTGTTGAATTGCTTGCTGTGAATTTATTGACTTCTCTTATTGTATTACTTGTGACTTGAGCAAATGTTTCTTTGCTTTGAAATTGACTTGTTGCTCTGTTGAATTGTTCTTAAGCTCTAATTCAGTTATTATTTGTTGATTTGTTAATTTGTTTGTTTTGAACTCTTTTAATTTGATTTGTATCTTCTGGCTTGTATTTTTAATAGAGGCCATTGTATCTTTTTATTTTTTCCCTTAATATTTGTTGTGTTTTTTATTGTTTTGCTTTGATTTCACAATCTTTTTCTAGATAATCTAATACATTGCATATGGCACACAACTTTATGTTGATTTTATATCAAAAGAATATTGTTTCTTCCAATTGTATTTCTATATTTTTTGCTTTCTCTTTTGTCTTAACTAAAGTGAAATTTAAAAAAGCAAATCTTTTTCTTATATAGTTTTTGTTACGAAGAATGTGGCAAAATATTGCCTTGATAGATTCAATTATTTCTTATAAATTATATCCTATAATATCTAGTGAAAAATTTATAAGCTTCAAGATATACTTGTCTTATGCTTTTTTGATTGCAAAGTTTTTGATATATGAATAAATTTTAAATAGTTTTCCTTTGAATGAATCATTCTATTATGTGTTAATTTTCTTATACTTTTCTTTTGTTTCAAATTTGACTAATATATTTTGCCATATGCCTATTGTATTTATTCTAAAGTTTTTAATTTTTTTATATTAAGCAATTTTCTGTTTTGCTTTTTGTTAATTAGTATTTAAGGAAATATTTCAGATTCAGATGATTTCGCTTTTGATTTCAATTGAATCAATCTTTATCTATTTTGTCATATGTTTTTATTATTTTCTTGGATAGTTAGCTTATATACTTTGTGTAAATCTTTTTGATTAGCAAAGGAGGTGATAATTATTTTTTCCCTTGATATTGTGCCACCTGAACTTCTATATAGGAGTCAAGATAAATGATTGCCTGCTTTATTATATTGAGTTTTTATTCTATTATACCATTAAAGTTAGCTATCTGGATAGCTGCTTTGAAGTGTGAATGGCTGTACTGAATGTGCCAGTCTGTTAAAGATCTGTATGGTTATCTAGGTAGTTTGAATAGTTTGAATTTAATCATTTTTTCTTTCTTTACCTTGCTATTTAGCTTAGTAAATATTAGATTTTTATTTGACTTCCTAAAGTAGCCAAGATAAGTGAAGCAGGTGTCTATTAGAATTCTTCTGTTTCCATATAAGTGTTTTTTGCCTGGTTATAGATGACATCCACTCTATCTTCAGCTATAGATAGCCAGTTAGCTAAGATATTGCCATCTACTATTGATTGTACTAATAGCTATTTGAGTTTTTGTTTTTATATTATTTTGATTGTTTATTGTAGCTAGATATTATTGTTGCAGATTGTTATAACTGTATTCTGTCTTTGGATATTTTTCTAACCATTTTACTGCAGATTTTCAGTAATCTGAGATAAAACAAAAAGAGTTTTTTTTTTTTATAAATTTTAATTTTATTAAAGAACATATATATATATTTTAGAATTAATTAAAATATTCAAATAATCTATTTAATATTTTTTATATAAGATCTTAGAGAAAGTATTATATTTGTTATTACTATTTATAGTTTCAAATTATTCTTTATTATTAAAGATTTTTTTTTTAAATGAGTATTGAATTGAAATAGCTTTAAGCTAAAATATTTTTGAATTATAAAATTTATTATATTGGTTGAAATTGTAAACTTATGTAAAAGTTAAATTAAAGTTTTTTCTTGTACAAACTTTTTGCTTTGACTTGTTTTCAAGTTATAATTATTAGAAAAATCAAAAATCTCATTTTTGTACAATCTAATTATATTTAGTAAAGATTTAAATGTTTTATATAACATACATGTATACAGTATAAAAAAACTGTAAATATTGAACTAAAAACATGTATTAAAAACATTACTTATTATACTATTGACTTATAGGTCAAAAAAAATTTTTTATAAACATTTGTTACATTTGTTTAATAATTCATTTTTATTTATAATAAAAGGTGGGTTTACTTTTTTTCTTTAATAGTAGAACTTTCACGTGACAAATATTGGCAAATTGAATGTATGGCTTGACAAAAAGAAAAAATATCAAATCCGTAACCACATTTAAGTTTTGTATTATATGCAATGGTATGCCGGAAAGTGGTTCCAAAGAAACTTTGGGAAGATGTGTGCAGTAATTTTACTGTTTTCTTGACATTTGATTATAGCACGGAGTAAAGCGTGTGAAGCCTTCAGCGGAAGTAGAAAGGCTTCGAAAAGAAAAGGAGGCAGTAAAAATCAAGGAGTACAACCGTTTGATAGCGTCGTGTTTCGCAAAGGTATTTCAGTTATTACTAAGATATTTTGAGATTCTGTTGTCGTTCTTATTAAAAAAACTAGGCAATAACTAATATCAAAAAAATAATAATAGAAAACCAATTCCGAATACGATGTCGAGGCATTCAACATTACCACCAAAATACTGTCTCAAAATCCAGACTTTTACACGATATGGAATTTTAGGAGAACAATTCTCTTAAATACGATGCTGAAAGACTGGTTAGCATCAGATTATTATCGTATATTTTATGCAGTCTAGAAAAAAAAGAACGATCTCAAGGTTTCGCATTTATCAATGAAAGCTCTGCTGAAGAAAAACAACAGGAATTATCTTCAGAGTTACTTTTCCTCCAGGAAGTCTTTAGGCTGAACCCCAAATCTTATTGGATATTCAATCATAGACGTTGGTGTCTAGAGACTATGCCAACCCCTGATTGGCAGGGCGAACTTACACTTGTTGGTAGAATATTGGATATGGATTCCAGAAATTGTAAGGTTATAATATTAATTATTATTTCGTTTGGGTATATCGATAAAAATCTAATCATAATCATAATGTTTTACGAGAAGTTCATGCATGGGATTATCGTCGTTACGTGATATCTAAACTTTCCTCCACTGAAGCGGGTGACACAGAGATCAGAAAAAATGAATTTGATTTTACCACCACCAAAATAAATCAAAATTTCTCTAATTATTCAGCTTGGCACCAGAGAAGTAAGTTGTTGCCGAGATTAATTAAGGAGAAGCATTTAAACGATCAAGAAAGGAAGAAAATGATCGACCGAGGTATTGTATCTGATTGTAAATTGGAAATCCATCTTATACATTAATCACATTATAAATTATTTTACTAATTGCTTTACAAAGAATTTGAGCTTGTCAAGTCCGCCTTTTATACAGACCCCGATGATCAAAGTGCTTGGTTGTATCATTGGTGGTTAATTGGTCGAGGTGAATATGCGATTTCCAGACTTGATAGGTATTATTTTCATTACAATCTCTAAACTCGGCAATTTTTAGAAATTCGACATCTATCTATTCTTGGAGCTTATTATAATCCAAAGAAGGCTCAAATAATTTTGTCATTTGATGATGAGATTGGAATGCTAACGCCTTTTAGAGTACTATACAAATATGAAAATTCTACAAACGTTATCAAAGGTGATTGGAGATCTGTAGATGGAGAAATTAGTAATGAAGATAGAATGTATGGATTTGTTTGGGTTTTTACGTTTTCTGGCGAAGAAATGGTTAATTTCTCTGAACTGGTGGTCACTGTGAAGCCAGAATGGATAGTGACGTCACATCCAGAGAAAAAGTTGGCCCGAACTATTAGCAGATGTTGCAATAACGGAAAATTTAAGAAGGACAAAGGTAACTAACTAAACCAGTTTTTTTTTTTATCATTACTGATTTCTTTATACTTACATGTGGTTGGTTTTAATGTACAGACATTCTGGTATTAATGACTCCAAAAGATTTGAATGAAGGTGTAGCTGATTCGATGACTGATATGTTATCGGATTTGATGATTGAGTCACCGGATTTATTGCTGATTGATACGCCCGAGAGATTAGCAGTCTTACGTCGTGAGATCTCGGCAATAAGAGAATTGCTAGATTTAGAACCAGATAGTAAATGTAAGTAACAATGATTAACGCCATCAAATTTGGGAAAGCATTATAATAATGTTTATTTTTAATCAGGGTGCCTGCAAACCTTAGTAAATCTTTTATGCGAGCTTAAACATATTTCTGGAATAAACTCTGAGGAAATTGCCGAAATTGAAAAAGAAGTTGTGATATTGTGCGATCGATTAATACATATTGATAAAATTCGCACAAAGCGATTTGAGGATTTGCGTAAGCTTTCTTTTTAAACTTTCAAACCGTCTGTTATTTACATTATTAAGCTCTGTTTAATTAATAGGATCTAAAGCTATTTTCGAAAGTTCCACTAGAATACTCATTGAATCCTCTAATATACCATCGGAGGTCATTTATAAACATAAAGAATCATTAATATCAGAATCAACCCAAATATCATCATTTTCTCTTGCAGACCAAAAGATCACAATTATTCCCTTACCATCTATCTTTTTGCATATTCGTAAACTAGATTTATCTCTTAATAAGTTAAAATCCATCAAGTTTCTTGCAAATTTAATCAACTTGCAAGAAGCGAACCTTAGTAAGAATTGCATAACAAATATACAAGGTGTGCACGGTTTAGAATTCTTGAGACATCTGGACGTACGATCAAATTTAATCGAGAATTGGGAGTCCATTAAAAATGAACTGAAAAAGTGGCAGGGTGATAAGTGTAAAGTGTACTTGTATGGAAATCCTTTTGTTGAAATAAGTAACGATTTACTTCTGGAACAGAGAAAGGTGGAAGGTAGGGTTGAAATCGTTTGGGACGATTCTTGAATTCCTTTCTTTGAAATATTGGTTCCATTTCGTGAATTCACGTTTTGAATCTTATGATTCATTAAAATATCTTATTTAGTTCAATAAAGTTTCTAAATAATATATAGTAAATAATTGAAAATCATATTTTTGATCAATTTTTTTATTATTTTTATTAAACTTGATTATTTTTAACTATTTTATTGCCAAATTATATCAAATCATCATAATGTAAAAAATTACCAAATTCAGTTATGGTAGCAGTTGTAACTATGTTATTAAATTATTGACTTAAATAACAATGAATTGATAAAATTTTTTTAAAAAAAGTTTTTGGTTTTTTGTAATACAGCAAGATATGTTAGGCAATATTGAAAGATAAATATTGTAAATATTGCTGATATCGCAAGTTAACAATATAAACAATAATAGTATAAAGTTTGATTTTTTGATAAAAAAAATAGTCTTTTGAGAAAATAAAATTATTATTTAAAAAGATTTATATATTGATAAGAAAAAAAAATAAAAAGAGTCATGAGAAAAATTTGTAAAGAAGTAACTGCCATAGGTTTTTTTTTATGTAATTTAAAAAGAAGCAAGCTTTTTAAACTTGTTTTTCCTTGACTAGAAATTTCATCTCAATATATTAGTATATATCTTTAGTTTTTTTAAAACTCTTGTAATAAAAATAAAGAAAGCATAAAGAACTTTTGAATATTGAAAAACAAAAAAAATATTATATACAGAAGAATTTTTTTTTTAAAAATTTTTAATTTAATTTTTTATTATTATTGCAAATGGATATTAAATACAAGACTTAATTTAAATAAAATACATAATATTAACAATCTTTATCAAGTAAATTAATTATAGCTTATTATAACAATTCTATTGAAATCAGGTACTATTGTAAAAATGGATTTATATTAATAATACTAAATAGCTAATATTTGTTTAAATAAAAATATTATTGCTAATATAAAAATTAATTTTTTAGTATAATTGAATAAAGTATTTAATAAATTTAAGATTTTGTTAAATATTATATTATTTTTTTTGAAATGATTGGCATATACCTTGTTTTATTAATGGATATCAGTTTAGCATGTACATATAAGTTTATTCCTATTTCTATTTAATAAAACTATCTAAGCTAAAAAATATCTAATTACTAGTTGGCTTATTGCCCTCCATCCTCCTATATTATTAGTACCAGAGCCCTGATAGTATAGGTGAAGTGCTAATATGCCAGAATGCATGCCTTTTGATTAGGGATCACAAAAAACCAAAACTATATGCACGATATCAATCATCCATTGGATCGTGCATATGGTTTCGGATTGGATTTTGCGATCCCTATTTTTAGTCCCACTCATTATTTAATAAATAGAAACTTAAAGAACCATATTCTAATATGATCAGTTGTAAAACTAATTATATCTATTAGAAAACTTTATTGATTTTAATTAAGCCTAAAAAAAAATTAATTTAAAAAAAAAAACCTGCAAAAAAAAAAAATTTTTTTTCTTTTTTGGGGTAAGCAAGGATAATTAAAGGAAAGTTGAAGACATAAACAAGAAAATCTTGTTTGAGGGAAGAGAAAAAGACTACAAACTATTTATTTAAAAAGAAACAAAGATCAAGTTCTTATAGAAATTTAAAATGAGAGTATCATGAAAAAAAAAAATCTTATGAGTTGAAAAAACCTGTATATGTTGTTATTGTATTTCTTATTTACATATGATTGCCCATACTTCTTATACCTTCTTGCAAATCTTTGTCCTGTCCAAAAAATCTCTAACTAAGATTAGTCATTTGCTTTCTAATTTGAGTAGGGTGTCACCATTGCCATCTATTATGGTCAGATAAAGTTCAGTTGCAAAATATTCAATCATCAATATCAAGAACTGAATACTGTATCACAAACAAAGATTGTAGAGAAGAGATGAATAATATTAAGGTTATTTGTTTCCCATTATTGTTATGTATTCCAGTTGTATTGTTGTGATTGTTAGCCTATATCTTTTAGCTGTATGAGAAATACCATCTGACTTTTTTAAATTACTAAGAGGCATAGACAAGACCTCAATAGTACTATCTCCTTTGTTATTAAAGACATTTGTTTGAGAATAAAGTGAGTTGTTTTTGGCTTTACAACTTCTTTACCAGTAAGAGTTTATCTCCAGAAAGAGTATAGTATGATACTGCTAATCCAAGAATATTGCAAGTTATAATTCTTTATAAGAAAATCTTTCTTTATTGTTAAAGAAAAGTATTTCCTAAAAAGAAAATTTTTAAGGAATGTGAGATAAATGGAAAAGAGTTTTTTTTTATTAAATATTATATTATTATTTATATCTATTTTTAATAACTTGATAATAAATATTGTTTTTTATTTTATATCAGATACTAGTAAGATTGTTGTTATAATAAATTATAATTTTTAAATATTATAAAAAATTTAAAATATCTATATGTAAAGATAGGTTCCTAAATTAAAGACAAGGACATAATTCAAATATCTCTTACTATTAAAAAAGTTTTTTTTTAAATATAAGGTCAAAAAAAACTACCTACAAAAGTTTTTTGCAATTTAGGCTTCTTGATCCAAGTGTTTTTTAAATTATGTCCCTATTAAAATAATGAATAAATAATTATGTCCCTTCAAAAAGGACACAATTAATCTGCAAAATTTTATATGCTAAATAGTTTAGAAACTCATCCTTATTTATATGCAGGTTTACCGGTTTTCCTATATAGAGTATCCAAACATCCAGATCCTAACCAAATTCAGTTAGGCTGCATAAAGATGGAACCTCTGGTCTTTCTGACGATCGCAGGCTAAAAAAACAAATTGAAGCAGGAAAGGTTGCATAAGGAAAAACTTCTGGTCCAACTCCCATAAAAAGCCCACAAAACTTCCTAATACGGCAGACTCTGTAGTACAAAGAACATCCTAGCTTGAGGCTATTTCAATCCAGCATTTGCTTAAAAGAAGATTGGATGATCTGTTGTACAAACAGAAGCCACAGGTGATGACAACAAGTATAGTATCTTTTCTGAGGTCTCAAGTGAAAAGTATTGAACGGGTTATCCAGTTGTTCTAATCAACCTTGAAAGATATACACTATACATGTTGCTGAAATTTGTAGATTCTTGACGCAATTGACGCAATTATTTGATGCAATTAATTGAGTCACTATTAAAACATATAAATAATTGAGT